CCATCCAACCATCCACCCATCCATCCATCCAAGGAACTCTGGGTAGTGAATAAAAACAAACAATTCCATTAAACCAAAACCCACAAAATAAAACAGTGTCAGATAGATAGGAATGGGCGTGGTAGTTGCCACTTTTGTAACTCACAGGTGTATTTTCCCAGAACGGCATGGCTACCAGATGGCCAGGAAAAGGCATAATTTCCTTGTTTCCACTGACAGTTATAGCAAGCCAGACCCAAAACACACTTCCACTTTGGATTTGAGTACCATAACCCTCTTTAAAAAAGACTGTGCTCAGAGTCAAACCCAAAGTTAGCTAGTGAGCTTCTACCGCAGAAGGTGAGCTTGAACGTGGCTCTTCCTGGTCATAGTCTAACTCCTTAACCTTTACACCACACTCATGAACTACCATGAAGTATTGCACACTCTTGCATTGATACATTTTTTTGCCCGTTCAAACATTACTAGGCATCTGCTTTTCAATAATATATAGTCTGAACACTGTTTCGAGAGAGAGGAATGGAGCCCTCGGTGCTCTCTGAGCTTGGTGGTTTCCTTGCAGACGTTTCATCACCCAACTAGGTAACATCATCAGGGGAGCAAGTGTGGGGTTTGCTACCTGTTTATATTCAATAGCTTGCTGTGCCAGTTTTGGTGAGGTGTAGTTTCCTCCTCGGTAGTTCCTTGTTTAGGGTACTGTTTTCTGCCTGATTGTTTGTCTGGTGTTGATCACTGCTCATCTGAGTGTTGGCTGCTGGAGAGGATGTGTTCTGGTCTTCTTGTTTCCTCCTTAGACTTTTTATTGTCTCTTTTGACTGGGTTGTAAACATAGTTTTTGTGTCTGTTGATGGCTGATTGTGGGACTGACACAAGGATCAGCCAATCAGATTCTGCTCCAAACACGGGCATTCATGGGGTTGTGACTGACCCAAGGGTTAGCCAATTAGTTCTGCTCCAAAATAGAAAAGTGGTTGTAGCCAATCAGTAAAATACTGCAACAGATCTGCCACTGGATTTATGTGAAAGCACACTCATGTGTGTTTACTAGCATCTTCATTTCAGGGCAACTGCTTCTAGAATTCTGCCCTGGAACTAGTTCCATGTCAGGTCATAGTAACATGGCTTGTACTGTCTTTCTTCACATAACACGCTTAACCAGGTCAAGAAAAGATACAGGAGAAGCTGTGGCCCAGCGTTTATAACTTATGGTTCAAGGAATTGTGCAGACCCAGAACACTGATTAATAATTAATAAGTAGGGCTTATATGAAAAAACAGGCATTGCAGCGATTGTCTTCTTGATTTTTTTATCCTATCCTGCAGAAGTTAAACATGTTACTTGAATTGGTCTGTCTTGCCCTCTATAGGCAACTCTACTGATTGGGTTCCAACAAAAATTTTCCCAGCCCTGCCTAGAGATGCTGAGTTCTCCCTCCAAAAGAAACCAAAATGCTTGTCATCCTTTCAAGGTGGTCCAGATCAGGAAGCTGACTCTACAAGAAGACTAGAACTAAGTGGTATTGAGATAGGCTGAATTAACACAACCTTGCAAGTCTGGTTGTGTTTTTCCTCTCCTCCTTCTCATACCCCAATGAATCAGGGAGAAGCCAACCTGAGTCTCTTCCTAACATTACCTCCTTTTCTGGGGCTTCTGCTCTTTTTGTTTTTGTAATGGTTTCTCCATATTCCCCTCCTCTCCAGGGCTCTACAATGCTACAACTGCTATCTTTTTCTTTTTAATTCCATTCAAGCATGTCCAATTCTCAGAGACTGCCTGAACAAGTCCCTGCAGTTTTCCTGGCAAGGTTTTTCAGAAGTAGTTTGCCCTTGCCTCCTTCCCAGGGCTGAGAGAAAGTGACTGGGCAAATGTCAACCAGCTGGCTTTGTGCCTAAGGCAGGAGAAGAACTCACCGTCTCCTGGCTTCTAGTCCAGCACCATCACCACTACACCAAACTGGCTCTCATTGCCTTCAAGTCAATCTTGGGTCCTGGTGACTGCCTGGACAAGTCCCCACAGTTTTCTTGGCAACATTTTCAGAACTAGTTTGCCCTTGCCTCCTTCCTAGGGCTGAGAGAGAGGGACTGGCCCAAGGTCACCCAGCTGGCTTCATGCCTAAGGCAGGAGTAGAAGTCATGTTGTCCTGGTTTCTAGCCTGGTGTGTGAACCACTACACCAAACTGTACCCCAAATTGTACCCCAAATTTGGCATGCTTCCATGTCTGTGAGCTAGAAAAGAAGAGGTAACCAGGATCCCATAGCAACTTTCCTAGTCCTATTATTCCTGTTCCACTACCCCAAACTGGTTCTCACAACTGCAATAGGATTACACAAACGTGCTTGGATTCAGTGGGCTTCATTCATTCCTCATGAATGAAACATGAAGCCAAACAGGACCAACCTGTTCCTCTCCTGGAGTCTGCTGATCTCATGGGTCTGCAGAAGCAGCTGTTTCTCAAGCTTGTTGGTAGACAGGGAATTTTCCAATACTTGGATTTCCAGGCGTGAAGTTTGGTTGAGAACCTGGATGTCGGTAGTAGAAAAACCAGTTACACCAGACAGCAGAAATAGCAAGGAAAGGCATGAGTGGTTTATACATCACACTCAATCTTCATGTAGTTTGATTTTAGTTTAGCATGTGATTTGTAAACCATGACTGGTGGCTTAAATTATGATATGAACTGAACTAATCGTTATACAAACCAAGTATCACCAACTGGGAGACCTCACTGGCCAACCCCTTCTTCCAAAGTTCCCTCAGATATTTATGATAGATCATTACCAATCAAACTGAATCTCCTGACATCCCTAGTCTGTCCATCTAGCTAGACAAGCATTTAGCCTTTCTTCCTTCAGCCCAGCTCTAGGAAAAATAAAAAAGGGACATACTTTGGATCTTCATGCCATAAGCATAGCAATACAGTACTTAACAAACCTGGCATTATCCTGAAACACAGAGTATCTGTGGAATTTGTGGAAAGTGTTAATAAGAAATTCTTTTATAAAAGCCAATGAAGCCAATTTGCTAGATATAAAAGATTTACTGAGAAAAGGAAAATAGCAGGAAAAGAATGAAAGGCAACTATCACGCATTGCAGAATTTGAAACTGAATGAACATAGTTAAACCTAGCTAAATTGGTTGTGCTGAAATCCAAAAGCTTAAGTTCAGGATTCATTGCAGAAAGGATGATTGCAAAAAGTCATCTGGGCCTCCTGCTTTGATGCTGTTAGGCATGTCCTTCTTGCTCTTTTTCCTTTCTTCTTGAAAAGTATCTTCGGATGTATAAAATGTGGAGGATAATGGAAAGCCAGACTCTTGGGGAAGACTGACTATCGCTTTGCTTAATCAAGGAAAATGATGTCCTGGGTTTAGCAGAAAATCAGAAATTGTCAATTGGTCAAATCCTCCTTCCTAACAACATTGTGTGGAAATTTGAAGACAGTTTTTATCAGTTGTCCACTCTAATAATGGAACTACAAGGAAAATATCTTTTTTGGAAGTGAAAGCTGATTTCCATTCATTCAGGCCTCTGCAGGGAGTCAACTTACCAGAACTTACTAGTCAACTTACTGTTGTGCCAAACTAAAAACTAGGGGGTTGCCACACTATGGTTAAAACAAACCATGATTTAGTGCACTGTCTGAACTCATTTGATTCTAGCATAAACTCTTCCTCCACAGCAGAAGCTCTACATTTAAAATTAATTAGTTTGATATTCAGATTTGCCTTTCAAGTCATGCTTAACTGTTTTAAAAATCAAGTGCCATTTTTCTTCCTAAATTCTTATTCAACTTAGAATTTTACAGAGGGGCTTGAACAGGCATATTTAAGGACTGTAGCTACCCCATGCCAAGCAATTATTTAATCATGTCAGCTCTTCATTTTCCATGAAGCTCTGTCTTGCTTTGCTCTAAAAATATGCAAAGTGTTTAAAACAGGTGCCTATAAATCAGTGCCTGTCTCGCTGACAAAAGAAGGAACGTGGAAGAGCATTCGAGGTGGGGATATAGTTGTAAATCAAATCGCAGTTCCCAAGAGGCAAATGAAATAGCGCAGGTCTATTTACAGGTTACAGAACTTCGACAGTACACCTGGAAAGACCAGGACCTGGGGCAGTAGTTGCAAGGAAGCACATGGATATTGAATCAGTTCCAAATCATGTCAAGAGGAGTTCAGTTCTTAACTAGCTTTAAATTATTTCCACACAGAATCTTTAGAATGGTTAAACATCCATTCTATCTTTCTGCTGGCTCATCAGTCTGTTCTGAAACACTTAAGTTCAGATTTCTAGTTTAATATCCCGTTTTCTACAATCCAGGGAAATGATTTCTGAAGGAGGGTAACTGGCAGTAATTGGGCTCAGAAGGTGGCCTGTTTGGAAGCCCTCCAAGCAACTGTTAGGTTATTTTGGATGGTGCCATCTTGGTTCATAAATCAGGGATAGAGAGTAGGAGTTCCGCTTGAGAGCCATGGCACGTTGATTGCCCCTTTGCAGAGGGATGGCATCGCGATGAAGATCGGCACGGGATGCGGGATCCTGGCTGCCAAAATGCTCTCCGGATCAAGGTGGGATCTTTGAGATAGCCCACATGACTCTGTACAGCTGCTACTCATGAGTAAACCATAGGAATTATCATTTCGCGGTTTGCCTATGGGTAGAGCAGCTGGGAGTCAAGAGAGGAATCATCTTTGCTCACAGTTTTCAATACAGCCTTTTTAAAGGACATTAAGCTCAACTGAGCCTTATTTCTTAATCAGTTCAGATTTGGCTTTTTTCCCTGCTGCCTAAAAAGGATGAAGACCCTTCAGAATGGTAAGTTATACTCTATTTGCTAGGTCAATTCCCTGGAGAAAGAATTTTGAAATGTGACTTTTAAAAGCTTTTGAAAAACATTATTGTTTGGATTAGACAGCAAAAGGGTGCTTAGAAGATGGATTTTAGAAAGCTTAATAACAGACCAAGGGCTCAGATGGACTTGGAATTACAATTTTAAATGCCCACAAAGAGTTTTGAAGAAGAATTTTTTTCTTTTGGGAAAATGGCAAATGTTTTGAGTTCTTTTTATCATAAGGGGACCTTGAACGATGGACACTAGGGGGAGCTAGAGGATAAAGAAAATGGAGCAGAAATCTATAATGCACATTTGGGAATGTCTGTCTGCTGAGTTTTTTGATAGACTTGATAAACTTCTCGACAAAAACGACAGAACATGCTGTAATGAATATGTAGAACAAGCTGTAATGGAGGACTCTGAGGTCACTGTGAAGGGGGACTTAAATGTACTAAGCAATGAGAAAGATGTGGAGAAAGATATGGACCCACAAATGGAACCAATGGATGATTTACTCCCAAAAGGAGATGTGCAAACATTGAATCAAGAAACTGACCTGGATATTATTTTTTTACTGAATATACACAAGAGTTCTGTCCAGGTTTTGAAGGACTTTCTTAGAAATGACAAACAAAAGGTCATATTGTACTTATTGGATATACAAAAGAAATCAGTTAAAGGTCAGAAAGAGTTTTGGCTTGAAGTACCGATGCATAGAAAAAACTAGCCCTGGGACCCTTTTGAAGGGGTTAAAAGATATTTTTAAAAACTCAGGGAAGGAATACAAGGTTGGCCTATTCGACCAGGACTAAAGCAGAAAAAGAGCTACATCTGGCTGCCCTGACTGGACTTTTGCTGATGAAGAACAACCGATGAAGTATTTGGACTCTGTTTTTTTAATTTAATAGATGAAATATGGGGTGAAGTGAGACCATGTATTTAAAGATAGCGATAAGTTACTAAGATTGTTATTACTTGCTGGGGTGAAGGGGGAAGTTCCTTCTTTCTTCTTTTCTTTTTTCTATTTTTTCTTTTTCTTTTCTGCCACACTTTTCTTTTCCTCTGTATTTTACTGTTTATATTTTTTGTAGCCTGTATTGGCTTTTATTCTTTTTATCTATAATTCTAATGAAAATTATTTGGGGGGGGGAAGGATGGAGAGTGGATGCTGTAAGTTGGCCATCTTTGCCAAAACCCATGATTCTCAACCCACAGTGGCAGGGTTTATACAGTAAGCTACCTTTCATTGTAAATATAATTTATTTATTAGCTTTATATCCTATCTTTTCCCTGGGAGCTCAAAGCAGCTTAGATGGGGATCTCTTCTCATTTTATCCACACAACAGCAACTCTACAGGGTAGGCTAGAGCGAGAGAGAGCGACTGGCCCAAAGTTGTCTAGTGTGCTTCTAGGACTGGGTGTGGGACTGAATCTGGGTTTGGTTCAACACCTTATCCACTTAGTAAGCTAAAACCATCAAGCCACATTATAGCTTAAAGTATTGCGTGAACCAGGGCACAGAATTAACCTGGGTTCATACATTAGTTATGTTCACGCTACATGCTGAACTAGACCAGAGGCTGCACCGTTACCACATGGTACACTGGTTATTTACTCATGTATTGCACAGATTTATAGACTGCCTGCTTCCCTAGACTCAAGGTGGTTGACAAATAATTGAACACACAAGACTATAAAAAAAGTTACGCGCAGCCAATAATCCAGTAATTTATGCATACCATTAGCATCCAAATGCTCTGCAGAGCTTCCTAAAAGCTGGAGATCTTGGGGGTTCCATACCTTGGGATGCAAGGTGTTCTGAAGCAGGGGGGCAACCACCAAGAAGGTGTCCCTCCCCCACCCCCTTGCCTCACATGAGGTGAAACCTCCTCATCAAGCCCTCCCACAAGAAAGCATTCATTGGAGGAGGTGCTCCTGCAGGTACCTGGGAGTTGAGCCACGTAGGTCTTTCAAGGTAACAACCAACATTTTGAATAGGACCTGAAAATAAATCAGTAGCCAATGCAGGACTGTGGTGTTCTTGTTAGATGGCCAAATCTGCTTCCACCAGTCATAGCAGTCGGGCCATTACATTGGAGCCCAACTGAAGCTTCCAAATTGTCATCAGTGGCAGATCAACATAGAGGGTGTTAGTTTTAACCTTGGTTCTTTTTTGGTGGTTTAATATGCTGCAAGAACCTAGGCTATTTGGTCAGTCTACAGTTGTGGAAATCCAGAAGAGCATGAATTCAGAAACCAAGTCAAGCTTGTGGTGGAAACCCAGCCATTCTATTAAGCCACAATTTTGTTTTGGCATAGCTTCTGTGAAAGTAGCCACTGTGGTTTGGAGACCCTGTTCCCTTCTGGCTGCCATCTCAACTATGATGTATTCAGTAAGGAATGATGGTTCCAGTGAGTTGGCAAGAAATACCCTTGCTCCCCAAAAACAATCACCAGAACTATAAAACCCAGGAAAGGGCTACAAAAAGGAGATCTGCTTACCTGTATCTCTACATCAGTGAGCTTCCGGGTCTGCTCAGCAGTTTGGTTCAGGAGGTTGGTCCCGATTTCCAACATGGCTGCCGTGTGGTCCTGTACAGAACTGAAATGGCTGTCTGACATCTCCATCCTCACGTTCCCCTGGATGTAACTCTCCAGCTGAAACAAAGAACACAAGCAGTTGGGATTAAAAGTAGGGCTAACCATCCCGCAGGGCATTGACATATATTACACACTATTTTTTGGAGGAGGGGCTTGATTCTTCCATCATCAACATCTTCCGATTGCAAAGTTTAAACAAAGGGGGACTAAAGGACTCTAAATTTACCAGGAGGCTTTGCCGAGCGTTATGTTTACTACTTTGCAGATCACCAGCAGTACTTCTTTATTCTCCTTTTATGCTGGTGACTTGGCCAAGACATGTACAAATGGTTACTTGCAAGACTGCCTGTCTCCAATTGTCCCTGCTCATCCTGGGAGATCTGGCAGAGTGGCTATGCTTCACGTCCCTTCCACAAAACAATGTCACCTAGTAGGATCCATGGCGTATGTCTTCTCTGTTGCAGGTCCTGCCCTATGGAACATCATTTTCGCCAAAGTCTGGATGGACCTGACCTCGCCATCCTTCCACACAGCCCTAAAGACCTGGCTGTTCTCTAGAGCAGGGTTTCTCAACCTCGGCAATTCAAAGATGTGTGGACTTCAACTCCCAGAATTCCCCAGCCAGCATCTCTAGCACATTGGGCCAGACCATGGGATGAGCCCCTGTAGAGTGTAAGACCCTGAATGAGATGTGCGTTGGTTGTTTCTGTTAATCTAGTTACATCTGCCTTTCCCTGCTGCTTCTGCTCTTGGGTGGGATTAGTTTCTCAACCAAACTTCACACCTGGAAATCCAAGTTTTTGAAAAATTTCCATTAGCAAGCTTAAGAAACAGCTGCTTCTACGAACTCATGAAATCAGCATATTTCAGGGGAGAAACAGATTAGTCCTGTTTGGCTTCATGCTTGAATTGTGAGGCATAAATTACCCCGGTTAATCCAAGCACGTTGGTGTAACCCCATTGCAGTTGTAGCATCTGGATGTCTTTTGAAGAGATAAACCAGAGATAAACCCTTCCTGTATAAAGAGATAAACCCTTCCTGGATATCAGAGTTGCTTATATTGGGCAAAACAAAGCAGAGGGAATCAGCAGAGAGACAATCCACTAAGGATAAAGAAACCATAGTTTGCTGTGCTGTTTGAACTTGTTTGATTCTTGTGTAAATGCTTCTTCCACTGGACTGTTTCTTGTATAATGATAACACTCAATTTAAAGTTAACGGGTTTGATGTTCAGGTATTCAAGCAATGCTTAGCTGTATCAACCAAGGGCCAGTATCATTGCTCCTAAGATCTTCCTCAACTTAGAACGTTAAAGGTTTTGCACAGGCATATTCAAACGGCACAGCTCTTCCAAACCAAACGTTTATTTAATAATATCAGTTCCTTTACATGCACTGCATGTAAAAAGGGGATGGGGCTTTGACTGCTTTTTGCCCCCCTACTTTCCTCATATAGGTAACACATTAACCCAATGATCATCTAGGCATCCTTTTCTCCCACTTTTCCTCCTCTTCTGTAAGGAACTGGCAGAAGCGATGCCCAGAGTGCCAGTAGCGAAAGACAAGTAGCACACCTGTCCGAACATGGGTTCAAGCCCAAGTTCAAGCTCACCCTCAGGCACTTTTCTTCTCCTTTACCTGTTGGCCAGCAGCCTTGGATAAGTTCACAAGGCGCCTTCCTCTTGTTAGTATTGAGAAAAATGGTTTACTGGGTGTTCGATTTTGTTCACTGTCTGTGTGTGATGCTGGATTTTAAAGTTTAGTATTGGTTGCTTTTGAGTGTGCATGATTTACCATGGATGTTTTATTTATACCTACCCTATTTTATTCTTTTTAAGTTATACAGAGGATGGCTAGGTTTTTTGTTAAACTGCGGGTGCTTTCATTGTTATTCTGGAAGCTACCATGAGACTGTTTGAATGTGGCAGTGCGCAAATCCAATAACTATATCCTTTTCAGTGTTCAGTTGTGAATGTGGTTGGGGAGAAGTGGGTAGACATCCCATGTGTATCATTTTATATCTTTCATTTGCTGACTCAACCGGTTCTGTCTCAGCTGAGCTAACCTTGGGCTCTGGAGAGAAGAATTAGGGTTGGGTTGGGTTGGATTGGATTGGATAAAGACAGTTGGTACAACCATTCCCTGTGTTTTTAATATGTTTCCCCGTTTTATCATGTACAACATGATAATTTGGAGACAACTGTGGGAGGCTTCCAAGATTGTGTCTGTCCCTCCCTTCCTGCCCCCCGATTCAAGGCAGTTTCCAGATGTGTGTGGTCTGGTTTGGAAGTCTGGGAGTGACAATGTGCCAACATAGCTGGAGGCTGTTGGGTTGGGTAAGATTACCTAGTTGGGGGAATACCCTTCTGCCTTTGTGCCTCCCATGGACATCTTGAATCATGTCCCATTTTTTACAGACGCAAGAAGCAGAAAAGGGATAGAGGGTTGTACCATCTTCCCCGCAGGTCCCACTTTCTTCTGGCTGGCTTTCTTACAGACCCTTGCCAGCTTCTAGTCAAAATGTGACTTTTCTAAACAGCATTTGGGGCTGGCTGACAACCCACAGAAGAGTTTCCTTTCAGCTGGAGTGGGTATTGTTGCCATGTTTCAGTTGTGTTCTTGATCAGGGTCTGTTTTGAAAATTCATCCTCCTCCGTTTTTTGATGGTGTCTTAGTCCCTCTCTTTGGGGGTAGAATAACCCCATGGGAACCTCCCTGATTGAGAGGAGACTTGGAAGATTCACTTGAAATGTGCCAAAAACCCAGAATGGAGATGTGCTGGAAGGCTTGCATAGACCGACACAACCCAAGACCTGGTCCAGTGCCACATTTCAGGACAGAGACCCACAACTGGTTCTCCTTTGCCAATACATGCACACATGCACAAGTATTCTGTTGGTACATTCACTGAAATAAGATCTCCTGGCTCCATCTCATGTTTTTTTGGGGGGTTGGGGTTTTTTTGTACACCTGAAGAGGAGTGTCTGTCAGCAAGTGCTAGGAGGCACTGCTTGTAGGGCTACCATAATTAGCCTGCAAAAGTTCAGATAACCAGTAGATGGCAGCACCAAGAACAGAAAACCCAGCTCTCTTCTGCCATCTGGTGGTCCTCTTAGCTGGTCAATGATGTAATAAAAGATATTTAAATTTAAATTTGGTCGTCATTTACATCATCATGTTTTTCTAACAGTCTCCAATGGCTTTAGTCAGAAACTTCCTCCTCTTCTGCCAGGTTCCCTTGTAATGTTAACTAGAAGCTTCCTTGCACATCCCTGCTTTCAATTTGGTACAGTATTAATAATAAATTCCTCCTTAACTTTTATTAGCTTGTTAAGGTTCTAATCAGTGGAGTCCTTGGTGCTCTCTGAGCTTGGTTGTTTGATTGCAGACATTTCATTACCCAGTTAAGTAACATCATCAGTGGTAGTGAGTGTGGGGTTTGCTCCCTGCTTATATACAGTAGCTTGCCCTGCCAGTGTTGGTGGGGTGGTGGTTTTCTCCATCAGTGGAGTCCTTGGTGCTCTCTGAGCTTGGTTTTTTGATTTCAGACATTTCATTACCCAGTTAAGTAACATCATCAGTGGTAGTGAGTGTGGGGTTTGCTCCCTGCTTATATACAGTAGCTTGCCCTGCCAGTGTTGGTGGGGTGGTGGTTTTCTCCTTGGTATTGCCTTGATTGGGGTTTTCTGCTTGTTTGTTTGTCTACTTGATTGCTTGTCTCCTTGGTAGTTCCTTGACTGGGGCATTGTTTTCTGCCTGATTGTTTGTCTGGTGTTAATCCCTGCTTATCTGGGTGTAGGTTGCTGGAGAGGATGTGTTCTGATCTTTTTATTTCCTTCTTAGCTTTTTTATTGTCTCTTTTGAATGGTGTGTAACTTGGTTTATCTCTATGTGTTGTGAGATTAAGTTTTCATCGTGACTTCTGACTGCTAGTTGGTGTTCATGGACACAACACATGGACAGACTCGACCAACTGAGAAACTGTGAGCGTCCTAGACCAAGCTAAATCCAATAACTCTGGGGAATTCCTAGAAGCTTGGTACTCAGACACATCAGCCATCAACAGACACATAGAGATAAACCACATTTACACACCATTCAAAAGAGACAATAAGAACGCTAAGAAGGAAACCAAAAGACCAG